AGAAAATTAGTGACTCCAAGGAGTTAGCTGATTTAGTAATGGTATAACAATCTTGTTTGTCTTTTTAGTCACATTTTTTGAAATTAAAAAGGGCCTTTGGTCCATTCTCTATTTTTTAGTAATATTCATGTCATAAACCCATATGGTCTTTTTATTCCAATATTACTAAAAATAAGATAAAAGATAAAAAAGTGATCTGTTTTTAAAAATTCTAAAAATTCTAAAGTGACATTGGACAAAGTGACTCCGACCAAAGTGACCCCACCGACCACAGTGACTGCCCCACCGACGACAGTGTCTGTCCCGCCGCCACAGTGACTCCGGACACAGTGACTCCGGACACAGTGACTCCGGCCAAAGTGACTCTGGCGATCACAGTGACTCCCGCTTATCGGCCATAGTGACTACCGTTCACTGGCCACAGTGACTCCGGAGTCTCCGGTTACGGTGACTGCCTGCTCACCGGCTAGTGACTGTCGCCGCTATCGCCAATGACTCCGCTGCCACACTCCGCCGCCATCGACAATGACTCCGCCAGACAGTCACTACCCCGGCCAGTCACTGCCGTCCCCCTCCCCTCAGCAAGTCAATGTTCTTGTCTGCCCCTTCCATTGAACCACCTCAAATCAACCACCGCGACCGACCAGGCGGCCACCGCACCCCAACCCAAGCACCAAGCCCTGTGCACCATTGGCAACCACGCCCTGTACACTGCCCCTCCCCGTCACAGTCGCGGCCACCACTTCGGCTGACCACCGCCACAGCCTAGTGACCAACACCACTTCCCTACCCTGACTTGACTCCCCAGAATCCCATCCCCAGCCACCAACTCCGCCATACCCACCATCTCCAGCCACCCCAATCCTTGTTGCACACCAATCCACCCCTCTCAACCCCAATCCACCCCTCCCAACCCTAATGCGCCCTCCCAGTCCCACCTTTGACAGTCCAACCCAGCCCCGACCACCACCAATGAACCCTAGCCTCCATCCTCCGCCAGATCTGGCTGCTTGCCAGATCCGTCCATTCGAGGTGTATTCGAAGCAGAGAGAAGAAGAATAGTGAAAGCAACAACAAGGAGAGGTGCAATGGCAAAGGCGGAGAAGGCATCGACGATGCTGGACAACGGCGTCGATGCAGAGGAGAAAGGTCACACTTTCATTCTCGATGGAGAAGACGGATTCACAAAGAAGAGAGTATCTAGAGGGCCGATGGCTTATGGCGGCGGCGTTGAGCGACGCGGCGACAGTGGTTCGCGACGCGTCAGTGGTGTTGTGAAGGTACAGGACCGTAAGATGCAGAATGGTACGCCGTCGATGCCCCGATGCTTGCGTCGAATGAAGAAAGGGGAAAGCAGCGTGCGTCGGGTAACTTTTTGGAAAATAGGAAAAAACTCATAGATTTAGAAATCAAAAGTCAATAAGTAATAACCAGGCAATTTTTTCATTCTATTTTTTCCCGTAATATTTATTTATTGCTAGAGTTTTCATGCATCTTGTTTTCAATTTTTATATCTTTTCCCTCTCATAAAAACTTCTATTTTTTTGGAAGAACTTCTAATTTCTTTAAGAAAAAATGGCCCATTTATGACTTTTAACTTTTCAGATTCCAAATTAATGGCAAATCTACCTTTTCCCAAAAATGTGACCCGTTCATCTTCTCGTTGCACACCAGCACCAGACCTTCCATTTCAACTCCTCCTCCATCCTCTCATCAGACCATCGAATTCAACTCCAATCAGACCGGCGATTGACATCCGATCCCCAGACCAACGATTTCAACTCCGGTGAACGGTGACGACGTCCAGTGCCTTCAACTCCATCGCCGCTTCCGCTGCTCCTAACCTCCGCCGTTCTCTTCCTCACCCGCTCTCTTCCTCAGTCGCTCTCTTCCTCCGTCGTCATGTATGTGTCTACGTCTTCATCATCGACCACGACTCCACCACCAACGCGACGCCATCAAAGCAGATGGAGACCACCAGTGCAACGCCGTCGAAGAAGACAGATCCTGCTAGTACGACAGCGACGGAGATGATCTGCATCGGCAACGAAAGCTTCATCTTCTCCTTCTTTTCTGCTTCTCTTCGCCATCTCTGTTCAGATCTGTTTTGGATTTAAGATCTGTGAGAGTATCAGATGTTTAGGCGAACAGGGCGGTGGTTGTTAGGACAAGATGCGCTGTTGGTCGGTGCTAGGGGCAGATCCGGTTGTGGAGGGGTTGTTGGCCGGCACTGAGGGCGGATTTGGTTGTAGCACGTTGCTGGCCGGTGCTGGAGCCGGATTTGGTTGTAGCACGTTGCTGGCGGCGCTGGAGGTGGATCTGGATGTGACAGGTTGTTGGGCGGCACTGAGGAGGTGGCTAAAGGCTGGGAGGGAGCTGGGGTGGAGGCTGGGGGTTGGGAAGGGCTGGGGAGGTGGCTGAAAGGGGCTGGGGGAGGTGGCTGGAAGGGCTGGGGGAGGTGGCTGGGAGGGGCTGGAGGATGGGGAGTTGACTGGTCGGGCATGGCGGCAATCACTGGTTGGGCAGAGTCACTGACGGGTGGATGGAGTCGCTGTCGATGGTGGCGGCAGTCACTTCCCGGTGAGCGCGCAGTCTCTTTGGACGGTGAGCAGGCAGTCATCGTAACCGGAGTCACTGTGACCGGTGAGCGGTCGTCACTATGGCCGATAAGCAGGAGTCACTATGATCGGCGGAGTCACTTTGGCCGGAGTCACTGTGGCCGGAGTCATTGTTACGGCGGGGCAGTCACTGTGGCGGCGGGGCAGTCACTTTAGCGGCGGGGCAGTCACTGTGGCGGCGGGGAAGTCACTGTGGCGGCGGGGCAGTCACTGTGATGGCGGGGCAGTCACTGTGGCGGCGGGGCAGTCACTGTTGCCGGTGGGGCAGTCACTGTGGTCGGTGGGGTCACTTTGGTCGAGTAACTTTGCCCTGAGTCACTTTACACTGCAGGATTAATTGTGTTGTTGGTCACATTTTTGAAATTTTTAAAAACATATCACTTTTTTATCTTTTATCCTATTTTTAGTAATATTGGAATAAAAAGGCCTTTCTTTAATATGTTTTTTGTTTTAGTTTATACTCCCTGTTTTTAATTAATAATTTTGACGATATTAGATTATTTAGATTTACAAACTATTATTCTTTTTAGTTTTTACCATCTTTATATATATATATATATAGGTGAAAAATTACTTGGCTATTGATATGAAGAAATGGATGGAAGAGATCAATTTGGTTCAAATAAAAAGTACTTTCTAGGTGAAAAATAAGAACTAATCTTGGCTATTGATGTGAAGAAATGGATGGAAGAGATCAATTTTTAATGTTGAAACGTGGTGACATTGTTGTAATTATGGAGAACTTTTAATGAAAATGTTGTGGCAAATGTGTATCTGAATAGTCAAAAAGTGCAGCCGTAGAGCACAAAAGTGCAATGCAGTACATAATAAAAAGTGCACAAGTTGGAAGATTTTGACAATCTTTTTTGACACGCATGAGTGCTATTTTAATCAGTAACTATCCACTTTATAGTATAAACATTTGCACTTTTATAAAACCGTCTCTTGTGTTTAAAGTTCATCTTATCCATCCATTTTCAAGTGATCAAATGCCAAGATTTGTTCTCACTTTTCATGAGAAGACTACTTTTTACTTGAACCCACCTTTATATATATTGAAGTTTAAAATTTTCAAAACTAAATAAAGGATTTACATTACGTTTTCCTTTTCCCTTTTTTTAATAAACTTTTGTATGTTTTTATGATTTTTGCCTTTAATAATTTTATTTTTTAATAATATTCAGAGTTTATAATTTTTCAAATTTTTATAATGTTTAGAGTTTTTACATTTTAATTATACCATGTTTACATAGAGAAAATCTTTGCTATAGTTATCATTATTATTACTTTTAGTTTTTCAATTGTGATGGGGTATAAGTTTAATACGGAGTATCTGGGTTTACAATTTAGAGTACGTAGTAATGACAAGGGTTTACTGATCTACGGAGGATTAGTTACCGTATATAGGCTTAAGGTCTATTGTTGAAAAGAAAAACTTCGCTGCTATACTTTTGAAAGAAACTTTAAAAGTTGAAAAAAGTGATATTATTTCTCTTTTTTGCCTATTTGTGATAAATTCCCAATTTTTTATCTAAGAAAAATAGTATAATGTTCTACATAAGAAAATTGTTTATTACATCAATTAATTAATAATATAAAGTCAAAATAGAGTGTGAATAACGTAAAAGTCATTCAAATATGTTAATAATGAAAGTCATAGATAATATCACTTATTTCACAAAGGAAGTTTAGAAAATTAATTATATCATCACAAATACAAAAATATTTTAAATTATTTACTTATTAGCATCATAAATTTACTTACACAAGTTTGTAGTACACCTCACACTCCTTCAAAATCTGGATTATTTAAATTATTTTTCCCTAGATTTTAATAATGAATTATTATGATGTTGGACCCATTGGCTATCTGAATTTATGTGGACATACAATACAACTACTTAGAGCCCGTTTGGAGAACTCTGTTTTCGGCTTATCAGGCTTATCAGCCAGCTTTTTCACCAAACACATAACTTTTACTTTCGCGCGCTGAATTGTGTAATAAGCCGAAAAAGTAAGGTTGGAGTTACTTTTCTGGCTGTATTGGCTGAAGTTACTGTAGAGGACCATTTTAGCTATTTTTACATATAATTTTTTCTTTAATTTATTAATAAAATATATTTTTAAAATATTTTTTTCTTACATCAGCAGAATCAGCCAAAATAGTCACTCCAGCCAGAATATCATAAATTTCAGCAGAATCAGCCAAAACAGCCGATTTTGGTGCTACCAAACGGGCTCTTAGAGTTTAGGTGTTGGGTGAATTATTCAAGGCCCTTTTCCTTGAACATTACCTAATTGAAGCTAATTTCCAAAAAAAGTGACCATTTTGATAAAAGGACAAAAATGTGACTAAGAAAGTCACATATATGGAAAACATGGTGTCACTGTTTTTTATGTCAATGCAAGATTTTCATGTCACTATTATACGTCACTATCAAATTTTTATGTCACTTTTGAATGTCACTATAACTACCGGAAAATTTTCTGGCAACCTTTTCCTGCAACTATGCACCACCACCAACGCCCCCTTCAACCATATTTTTCACGTCAGTGCGGTTTTTCGTGTCACTATGACATGTCATCGCAAAACATGTCATTATGATCGTTTCTGCTCAGCGAAATTGTTGCTCCGAGTCCTCCGACCGATCAGCCAACAATCTGACCCCCATACCCAGCCCCGGCAACCATCACCAATAACGGCCGCCACCTAATCGTGACATCAGCCCCCCCAGCCCACCAGGCCCCTCCCCAACCCCCAACCCCCTGCCCTGCCTGCTCAGCCCCTTCCCCAACCTCTATCGCTCTTTGGCAACTCACTTTTGCGCCAACATCCCCCTTCCCCCTCAGCTTTGAATCTAGGGTTTCATGATGATTTGGGGGTTCGGTTTTGCAATTCGAAACCCTAGAAATTAGATGCGAAGAAGAAAGATGAAGACGTGCATTGAGAGAAAGGTCTTCTTCTTTGTTGCAACAGGGGAGAGCTGCACGATTCATCAACAAAGAGCGTCACTGATGGAGAGGTCATGTCGGAGAAGAAGGATAATGCGGGGGACGTCGTGAGCAGAGAAGGCAAGAGCAATGAAGAGAGAAGGAGAAGCAGAGAGAAAGCGCAGATAGATGGTAGATAGATCGTGTAGGAGAAGAAGAACGATGCAGAGCCGAAGGAGAGAAGCAGATAGATGGCAGAAGTCTTGACTACGAACGGCAAACAAGAATGGGGATATTAGACTTGGGTCACTTTTTTGTCAAGTATAAAAGGGATCATATATTTGTCCATTCAAACTCCCTAACTAATATTGCTGCCATTCTTTCAATTTTAAAGTTTAAAAAGTTCAATTTGCAAATATTATAATGTAAAACAATGTTCTAAGTTAAATGATTTTGATTAAACGTGATGCAATGTTTTGAGTCTTTTGACAACGGATTAGTTATTTACTTATTTCCTTTCCACTTGTCAATCACATCAAAACCAAAAGAATTGATTACTCTATGTCTCTATCCCCAAGCATGGACGGAAAACACACCGTTCATTCAAAACGTTGTTTGAATATGGACGGAAAACACACCGTTCTATATACGCCAGGATACTGCATACTCATATACTCCATATCAATATCTTTTTGGAAACTTCCATTTAGCTATTAAGTGCATTCAAAATCAATTTAGTATGATATTATTGATATGTAGCAGATTTTACCCCTGTCAAAAACTCTGAAGGCTCTAACTCAAATCCCGGCATGCTCCTTAATAAAGACTTTACTCATGTAATCGTTTATAATTTTATATGCCCAAAGTGCAAGAGCCCATACCAAATATAAAAATAATGGGTGATTTTATTTGTTCATTAACCAAAGAGATGCATCTCTAGACACATTGAGCTTGTTTCAACTCTGAGTTTTACTAATACTATCTTGCAAACAATATAATTCAATATTCAAGAAAAGATAATCTATAAACACTTCGAATTGAAACAAAAATGATTGTGAGCATGAAACTATACATGCTGAGATATCCCTGGCAACCAATTCTTTCCACAAGATTATTGACACTTATCTATTTCCTCAAGTTTGTAATGGAATCCACCCATTTGGATTAATAGTCTTTAATGAGATAATTATAGAATGAAAACATGCTGCTAATATGAGGATGAAATTCAAATTGCCTGAGATAGGTTGCTCTGGAGACCAGAGATGTAACCTATGATTTATAGCCACTATATTCATGAAAATTAGGCGAAGGCGGCGATTCAAATGTTCCAGGCTCTGGCCTTCTGCTGCCATTTGTGCAGAACATGCCTTTCAGCCATATCAATGAAGATACGGTAGAGGAGTTTCAAAGTGGGATATTAAAGAGTAAACAAGTCACATGAAAAATAAGGCTGCGTTTTTAGCAATAATGTACAACTTTTTAAGCACAATATCACATTCTGTGCATTCATAAAGGCATTCATCTTAATAGTAGCATCAATATTAGCAGTCTAAGAGCAGCAAAATCCCAAGTTTAGTTTTCAAAAGTGCAAAAAAATATGCTACATATCATACATCAATCAGACGTGGCAATGTTCACAATTACCTCTTCATAGCATCAAGCATAAATCTGGCCTGCAGTGCTAACATATCTCCCAACTTCACGCAGCACTCAACCTTTTGTTCCCATAGCTTGATCCACATCTCCTCAAGCTCAGCGGCTTTGAAACTATCAATCAGAAACACATTTTTCTTCAACATATCCAATGTCTCCTGACCACTCTTTGGATAGTTTTTCTTGTTGAAAGATTTAAACAAGTAAGGGTATTTGTACTGAAAATCCCCTTCTTCATTCTTTGCTTCACCATGATTTGCTTCACCTTTTCCATCATTTACCTCATAGCAACCAGCCTCACTGTATTTTTCCTCCGAGGCAGAATGGTTGTCGTTACCCATATCAGCAGCCTGTTTATATTTTTCTACATCAGTTTGCTCTTCTTTTTCCTCTGGAGCAGTCTTCTGTGGCTTTTTCTTTTCCATCTCATCAGTCTGGTTGTCTTTACCCTTACTGGCAGTGTGCTTATCTTTTTCAGAAACAGCAGTTTGGTCATCTTTTCCCTCTTGACCAGTCTTCTTTTTCTTTTTCTTTTTATTCTCATCTGTCTGGCTGTCTTTTTCCTTAGAGGCAGAATGGCTGCCTTCAACCTTACCTGCAGTTTGCTTATCTTTTTCAACAGCAGCAGTTCGTTCATCTTTTCCCTCTGGAGCAGTTTTCCTCTTCTTTTTCTTCTTCTTATCGGAATGGCTGTCTTTCTCCTTAGAGGCAGAATGGTTGTGCTCAACCTTACCAGCAGTTTTCTCATCTTTTTCAACAGGAGCAGCGTGTTCATCTTTTTCCTCTGGATCAGGCTTGTGCTTCCTTTTCTTCTCGTTCCCTTTGTCTGTAAGAGCAATCTTCTTCTTCTTCTTCTTTTCAGTCACTTCTTCAGATTCAACTGCATTCATGGAGTGGCTAATGACGCTTTCCTCAGCAAGCCTTTTTACCTTCCCATTGGCATTTTTTGCAATTGGTTTAGCAGCATCACTAGTAAAATTGGCATTACTAGAAGTGCCCCAAATCTTTTCAGAAAGTTGATAAAGCTTAGACTCGTGAGGGCTAGCAAAAGTAGGGACATCACCTTTCTTATACAGGGTTAAGAAATCCTTTTTGAGCCTCCTAAGCTTATCTGTTAAGCTAGTCCTCGAAACAGAAATATTCCATTTATTTTTCATGAAGTCATAGAAGAAGCGAGGAGAACGACCCTTATTAGCCCCTCTTTGGGCTTCGTAGTGAATCTTTTCCGTGAGGATGGCAATCTCATCCTTCTCGCTCCACTTTCGTTGAGCCCCAGGCTTCTTTTTCTGGGAAACTTCCTTTTCGGCTTCCAAGGCACGCTTTCCGGATGGCCTTGAAGATAGTTGCTTCGAAGTAGTCTTGGAAGCAACACGGGACAGTAGGGCTAAGCCGGATGCGGGTGGTGGGGCCTGAGATTCCTCAGATTCGGAAGAAGATTGAGTTGTTTCTCCCTCGTCCTCTTCTTCAGTGCTGCAATCGGATTCCGCAGAGCACTCCTCAGATTCAAAAGACGATTCAGGTTTCTGATCAATTATTGCTTCATGCTCGGACATCTTCTCGTCTTCATCAGACGTTGCGTAAGATTTTGCGTCTTCGTCCGAAGATGCTACAGGGCGAATTTTTTTAGGTTCAGGCGCCATGGTTTCAAACTTTCAATTTTTCAGAGGAGGAATAGGCGGAACCAAACTATATACTTACGGTCCTCAATTTCTTTTCAACGACAACGTTGATTTTTTACTGAGGGTTCTAATTTATCTACTCAATTTATTAATGTATGTATAACTTTTCTTAGCGAAGAATTTTCAGGGGCAAGGGAATGCATTTTATTTATGAATGTACTACCTCCGTTCTTTAATAAGTGCAACATGTGAAATTTTGCACTATTCACATGTTCTACTTTGACTGCATTTTATTTATTGATGTATTAATATATATTTTTTGAAAAATATATTATTATATTTGTCTCATTGTAATTTTCAAAAACTGATTTTTTAAAATTTTTTACTAATAGAGAATTATATATATTAATGGTCAAAGTTGTGTCTCGGCAAGTGTGAAATGTTGACTGTTGCACTTATTTAAGAACGGAGGAAGTATAAAAATTGTTTCTTTTCAAAAAATATTGTATCCATTTCATTATAAAGTTTCATAATTTGTGTTTACATTCTTTTTACTAATAAAAAATTATATGTAATGATGGTCAAAAAGAGAATTTCGTGAAACATGAAAAAAATTATTATGAGAGAAATGAAAATGAATCTGAAAATTTGGATTGTATTATATGAAATTGAATGTGCATTAAATGAAACTAAAGTATACCGTTGAAATTATATAAAATTGAAATGTGCACCACAAAGGGTACGATTGACACTATATTATATGAAATAGTGCTGGACTCGGGCCGGGCGGCCCGGCCCGGTTACTGTTTGGCCCGGCCCGGCCCGGCCCGGCCCGGTGGGTCCACCGGTTCGGTTCGGCCCGGCCCGGCTGCTGGGCGGTTCGGGCTCGGGCCCAGGTTTTGGTGAACCGGCCCGACCGGTTCGGGCCCGGTCCGGGCCGGATTTTAATTTTTTTTTTTTCAAATTTTTTTAAGTTTTAGGTTGGATTAGGTATTTTGGGCCATTTGAGGTGGTTTGGGATGGTTTGGGGTTGAGGGGGAGGGGTAGGGGATTAAATAGGAGAACAAAAAAAAAAAATTAATTGGGCCGGTTCGGCCTGGCCCGGCCCGGTTTGGCCCGGAACCGGGACCGGAACCGGCCACCGGCGGTTCGGGCTCGGGCCTCCCCTTTCCTGGCCCGAGGCCCGGCCGGGCCCAGGCCCGAACCGGGCCCGAACCGGCCCGAGTCCAGCCCTAATATGAAATTTGGTTGCATGATTTCGCGCGCTGAATTATGTAATAAGTAGAAAAGGTAAGGTTGGAGTTACTTTTCTGGCTATATTGACTGAAGTTAATGTAGAGGACCATTTTAGCTATTTTCATATAATTTTTTATTTTATTTATTAATAACAATTATTTTAAATATTTTTTTTCATGAATCAACCAATACAGCCACTTCAGTCAGGATTTCATAAATTTCAGCAGAATCAACTAGGGATGGCAACGGGGCGGTTCGGGGTCGGGTATACCATTACCCGTACCCGCCCCGTTTGATAAAAATTTTCACGAAACCGCCCAGTTACCCGTCGGGTATTTTTTACCCGCGGGTAACGGTTTTATTAAAAAATAATTTTTTTTCTTCAAAATTAGTATAGATCCTAAAATGATTATTAACTACTTATCATTGACCACCTCAATTTACAAGAATCAAAATTAAATAGTACCACAGATAAAGTTTTTTAAAACATGACAAAAAGTTACAATCGTTTGAATCTAATATTCACAAATTATATATGTCTAGATTGAAATTGAATCTCTTACCACGTCAACATCAAAAGATTAAGTCTTGTCTCGATAGTAAAATCTAAATACGAATCACAAAAACATTTAGAGCCCGTTTGGTAGCACGAAAATCGGCTGTTTTGGCTGATTCTGCTGAAATTTATGAAGTTCTGGCTGAAGTGGCTGCATTGGCTGATTTTGCTGATTTAAGGAAAAAATTATTTTTAAAATATATTTTATTAATAAAATAAAGAAAAAATTATATGTAAAAATAGCTAAAATGGTTATCTACAGTAACTTCAGCCAATACAGCCAGGAAAGTAACCACAACATTACTTTTTCTGCTTATTACACAATTATGCGCGCGAAAGCAAAAGTTACGTGTTTGGTGAAAAAGCTGGCTGATAAGTCTGATAAGCCGAAAAACAGTATTACCAAACGGCCTCTTAACTTCCAAACATTCAATAAGCATACCCCCCACCAACATTCAACATCTAAATTAATTTGAGAACAATAATGTATACAAGTAGCATAATGAAAATGGGAATTTTTTTCCCTAAAATACCACTAATGAAAAAGATATGAACATAAATGTGACTATAAGTTACCATGAGTAAGTTTTGTAATCACTACGACATAACATTTGAATAAAATTATAAACACTAACGTTACTAGAGTCGCATTTTTGTCCACAACTTTTTTTTTTATTATAGATTTGGAATTATTTCTAAAAAAGGCACTTTCAATACTATGTTTTAGAAAAAACATAATTTAAATTTTAAAACTTGATATAAATTAGAGCAACCAATCAAAATTAATCTAATCATCCCATACACCTTTACAAAATTATTAGCAATTACATAAAGCAAAGCAAACTAGAGTAATGTTTCTCAATATTTTGACTTTAAACTCATACGCGAGTTTTATGAAAGTTATTGGGTGAAAAATTAAGAGAGTCACAATGTGGAAATTGCGTAGAGAAAGTCACGAAAATCAATTAATCAATATGTGCAGAAAATAAATATTGTAGAAGTTTTTTTTTGAAGGAATATTGTAGAAGTTAAGTTGAATATTGTTTCAAGATACTAGAGGGAATAAGTGTCATATACTAATGTACTAATATTCATATATACTTAATATATTAAATAATAAATACATAAACTATTAAAATATATAAGTTAATTGTGCAGGTCGGGTAATGGTGCGGGTAACCGTATCCAAATTAAACGGGGCGGGTAGCGGGGCGGGTAGGTATAAACTCATAACCGCCCCATTACCCGTTTACATGAATCGAGTATTCCCCGCCCCGTACCTGTTACCCAGTCAAAGCGGTTTTCCCCATTTTGACCGGTTCGGTTCGATGCAGGTATCCATCGGGTCGGGTTAAATTGTCATCCCTAGAATCAACCAATCCAGCCAATTTTAGTGTTACCAAACGGGCTCTGGATAAAACTGAAATGTGCATTGGTGTTTTTCTTTAAATTTTGGTTAAATAAGCAGAGGTAAAGCGGATGTCTAGTTTATGTTGCATTTGCATTCTAGTATTGTGAGGTTTTGATGGAATTATTGTGTTGTACAACTCGGGTATGCCCCTTTTGTTGTGTAACATTTGTTCATATAGACATATAGTTATAAATTTATAGTTTATCCAAAAAACAATTTGTGTTAGGTGAAACTATAATGTGACATTTCAATATATTTTATTCTGCACATTTCAAATTCACTTAATGCACATTTTAGTTTTACCTTGTATTCAACACATTTTACTTTTACCTAATGTATATTTCAGTTTCTCCAAATGCATAATTCAAGTATACGCTAATCGTATGTTTCATGGCAGGACATGAAAAATATAGCTATCCAAGTGTGTTCTATATTAACCCGGTAGCAAGTTTTATTAATGAACGCGTCTCGTCATTAATAACTATTCTCGATGAACTGCATATACTCCTCGATGATTATCTTTAACTATCTTCCTCTCGAATACTCAATCGAGGAGTATATCCAGTTCATCGGGGATAGTTATTAATAACGACACGCGTTCATTAATAAAACTTACTGCCGAATTAATATAGAACACGCTTGGATAACTATATTTTCCATGTCCTACCATGGAGCATATGATATGTAAGTTTGATTAGTGAAAATATTATAAATTGATGTGTATGATGTCCCGAGAACCCAAAAAAGTATTTTTGGATTAAGGACGTAAAAACCCGAGCGCTATCAAAAACCGACTCGGATCAAATATAATGGGCTTTGTTCCGGTCCCTAATTTTCATAACCCGAGACCTTCCGGTTAATTTCCGGGTTTCGCAAAAATCGACCCAGCCCGGACCGACCCCACCCCTAGGAGTGCTCGGAGTGCGTTGAGGCCACCTTACTAGCTCGAATGACCAATATAGTGAATAGTGATGTTATTTTTATGATCATCAACCTCGTCGTTTTTTTTTAAGAAATAGATTTAATTAACATTTATCAATTCGTTTGCTAAAGCAGATACAATGAAAGGAGGTGAATAAAACGAGTATTGTGAATCAGGCAAAGAACAAGCCACCCTAGCTAACAAATGAGCAGACTTATTCGCCGACCGCTTAACATGACTAAAAGAAATGCTCGAAAAAGAATTCGCCAACTCTCTAATGTCTTCTCTCAATAAACCCGTTGAAGAACATCTCGATCCATTAAAGATTTATATCGCCCCTGCTGCGCCGGATTCTACCTCGACCGACGTACTGCCAAAGTCCTTGAGCCAGCTTAATGCCTCAGACCGAATATAATGGGCTTTGTTCCGGTCCCTAATTTTCATAACCCGAGACCTTCCGGGTAATTTCCGGGTTTCGCAAAAACCGACCCAGACCGGACCGACCCCACCCCTAGGAGTGCTCGGAGTGCGTTGAGACCACCTTACTAGCTCGAATGACCAGTGTAGTGAATAGTGATGTTATTTTTATGATCATCATCCTCGTCGTTTTTTAAAGAAATAGATTTAATTAACATTTATCAATTCGTTTGCTAAAGCAGATACAATGAAAGAAGGAGGAGAATAAAACGAGTATTGTGAATCAGGCAAAGAACAAACCACCCTAGCTAACAAATGAGCAGACTTATTCGCCGACCGCTTAACATGAGTAAAAGAAATGCTCGAAAAAGAATTCGCCAACTCTCTAATGTCTTTTCTCAATAAACCCGTCGAAGAACAACTCGATCCATTAAAGATTTCTGATATCGCCCCTGCTGAGCCGGATTCTACCTCGACCGACGTACTGCCAAAGTCCTTGAGTCATCTTTTGCTAGTAATTCACCTTACGATGCGCAAATGATTTTGCCATTTTTTCATTTTCCAAGGTTTATATAAATTAATTGAAGGTAAATTATTTATAATGACTAAATAATAAGGGAGTAAAATATGTGAAAGTGTGTTATGTCATTCTTGAATTATACTTGAATCTAAATTTGTGGGAAAATATACAAATAGGTGCTTCTACTATTTCTAATATCCAAGTATGGTCTGTTTTAGTTTGTTTAAGTTTGGTTTGGTTTGAAACTGAAATAAATCGTCTAAATATAAACATCTCAAGTAATATGGTGACTATGCATTTATACAAATTGCATTTTTTACACGAATTGCCCTGGTAAATTGGCAAATCAGGGGGTGCAAATATGTGAA